GTAGCACCTCCCACCCACACTGTAGCACCTCCCACCCACACTGTAGCACCTCTCACCCACACTGTGTAACACCTCTCACCCACACTGTGTAACACCTCTCACCCACACTGTAACACGTCTCACCCACACTGTGTAACACGTCTCACCCACACTGTGTATCATTTTACCTGTGGCCACAACTCCCCCTCACAGTGTAGACTGCAGTCGACCACAAGTGAAAAATGGCTACAATGTGTGTACTGAGGCGGTAAACTAGGCGGGGACTGCTGCCAGGGGGCGCTACCCGTTGTTGAGGTGATCACCATAGAAATATGAACAATAGGGGTGAGGGGAAAAGATTAGATATGTAGGGTAGGGGGAGGAAGATTAGGAGACGAGAGAAGATTAGAGGAGGAGAAGTTTAGAGGAACAGAAGATTGGAGGAAGAGAAGAAAGTGGGGGGTAGAGATTGGATGTGTAAGGTAGGTGGAGGAAGATTAGGAGACGAGAGGAGAAAATTAGAGGAGGAGAAGTTTAGAGGAACAGAAGATTGGAGGAAGAGAAGAAAGTAGGGGGGGTAGAGATTGGGTGTGTAAGGTAGGTGGAGGATGGATGATTAGGAAAAGAGAGATGATGATTTGGGAAGGAGGCGACTAGTAGAGAAGAAAATGGAGAAAATTATGTTAGAGGTAAGGAAGACACACATACACACACACACAGACACACACACACAGACACACAGACACACACACACAGACACACACACAGACACACACACACAGACACACAGACACAGACACACAGACACACACACACAGACACACACACACACAGACACACACACAGACACACACACACAAACACACAGACACACACACACAAACACACACACACAGACACACACAGACAGACACACACAGACACACACACACAGACACACACACACAGACACACACACACAGACACACACACACACACGCACGCACGCACGCACGCGCACACACGCACACACACGCACGCACACGCAAGCACGCACGCGCACACACGCACGCACGCGCACAACACACGCACGCGCACACACACACACACACACACACACACACACACACACACACACACACAGTCACACTATCGGGAGGGTATAAACGTCACCTTTTTTTAACAAGAGCAAAGATTCATGTGACCAAAAAGAAATAAAAAACTGTGTAATCTAAAACGAGAGGGAGACCGATTACCTACGAGGAGTGGCGCTATTCCTCCTGGGAGAAGTAAAGAAGATAAGCGTAAGAGGCGGTGAAGTGGGTATATTGTCGTGTTTGTCCTGGGGGGAAAAAGAGTAAAGAAGATGCCCTTGAAAGGTATGGGTGAGTGGTTTATTGTTGCTTTGTCGACCTGAGTGGGTGTTAAAAGTGGTGTGAGTGGGAGAATTAGTGGATTATTATGACGTGAGTGGGCGTGCTGTATATATTAGTCTGAGGGGTAAGGGTGTTGTGGTCTGGGAGGGATTACTCTGATTTGAGTGGGAGTGATGTGGTAGGAGAGGGAGTATTAGTATCCGAGTGAGGGCATATTAGAGTGGTCTTAGTGGGGGACGCTGTGATCTGAGAGGGAATAATGCGATCCGATTGGGCGAATATTAACAGTGGTCTCAGTGGGAGTATTTTATAACCTGAGAGGTGCAGTTGAGTGGTAGGAGCGAGTGGGAAGGAGGTAAGAATGACATTAGAGCCGTGTGTGTGTGTGTGTGGATGACAGTCTAGAATAGGTCTAATGGCAGTAGCGATAGAGAAGTCAACTAATACTATTTCTTACGGAAATAAAACGCCCCGTGGTGTAGGCTAAACGGGAGGAAATAGAGAGAGAGAGAGAGGGAGGGACACACACACACACACACACACACACACACACACACAGATTGGTGTAATTGGAACTGATTGGGAGGAGGTTCTGGCAATCACTTTTTTTAGGGGGTGGGGTAGGGTTTGTGTGTGTGGTTTTGTATAGCGGAAATATCGAGGCGGGTTTTTGGTTAGGTTATGTCAGTCTCTCTCTCTCTCTCAATCCATACATCTATCTATATAAATATTTATTTGTCTGCCTGTCTGTCTATTTTACTCAATCTATCTATCTGTGTCTATCTGTCTGTATTTTTCATTTTTTCTGTCTTAATATTTGTTCACCACCATCTTTCTCTTTCCTTCTCTCTCAGTACCGCTCTCATTCTCTTTATTTTCTCTTTCTCTTATTCCCTTCTTATCTTTTATCTCTCTCTCTCTCTCTCTCTCTCTCTCTCTCTCTCTCTCTCCAGCACAGCGACTGAGTATCAGGTAAAGTTTGCATATCTTAATCTTCCTCTAATGTCAACACCGGACCCTTGTAAGCCCCTAGAGGCAAAAAACAAACAGACAAACAAAAACTCTTAAGGTATTTTATAAAGAGTTTTGTTTTGGAAGCTGTAAGATGATTGTGTTGGGAGTTTTAGGTGGTGTGCTGGAGTGGGTGTGTGACGTGAGGGTGGTGGGTGTGTGACGTGGGAGCGCAGTGGTTGTGACGATCCCTCCCTCCTTTCACCCCCTCCCTCTTTTCACCTCCCTCTACCCCCTCCCTCCCTCCCTCCACCCCCTCCCCTCCCTCCCCCTCCCCCTCTCCACCTCCACCCCTTCCCTCCCTCTAGCCCCCTCTCCCCCCTTTTCATTTCTCCACCTCACTTTTGTCTTTCTCTGCTCCTCCTTTCTCTTCTCTCTCTACTCCTGCTCGTCTTGTCTCCCTCTTTTTCTCTTCGCTTCTTATCTTTCTTTTTCCGTATACCAGACTCCCTCCGTCCCTCCCTTCTCTCTCTTCTCACTTTCCTTATCCCTAACCCTTCTCTCTCTCTCTCTCTCTCTCTCTCTCTCTCTCTCTGTCAAAGAAGCCATTGCGTCTCGACCTCCTCTCAGGTGTGTTGACTGTGCAGATAGTCACTTGCTCACCTGTACACTCACCACTACCTTAATGACTCAGAAACATGCGCAGGTAAACTAAGGACTTCCAGTTTATTTCTCATTAAGTAAATAGAAATTGACTGATCTCAGATACTCAAAAGTCTGTAATATTTGTGAGGTAAATTTGTCGACCATCAGGTGAGATGATGACATTGAAACGGTGGGTGGGTGGGTGGGTGAGGATGATATGGTATGATGTGAGAGTTGTTTTCATTGTTTGCTTGTAGATAGTATTGTTTGAGAGAGTATTCGTATTTTTTCAACCACATACAGGTATATGTAAATAATACTATGATAGTACTAATAATCATATTAATAATATTTGTATTAACAATAGTAATGATAGCAATAATAATAAAGGTAATAGTCACAATAATACTGAAATAAAATTACGTCATAATATGTACGCACCACACACACACACACACACACACACACACACACACACACACACACACACACGCACACGCACACACACACACACGCGCGCGCGTATAAGCTGTAAGAAATAGGACCTCCCACCCCCCATCTCCTCCCCTCCTCACCTTGCTGACTTAGCTTATCATTCTGTCACAGTTTGAGGATGATTCCATTATCGTCCTGAAGAATGCCTCCTCCTCCTCCGCCATGGACGGACACAAATGTTTCCTCGGATAAATACTGTCTGGTTTTACTTTGGCTCCTCTGTAGTATTAGCCGGCGAGATGTATTTAAATCTTTCTATAAAACACTGTGGGGGGTGGATGTTTGAGAGAGAGAGAGAGAGAGAGAGAGAGAGAGAGAGAGAGAGAGAGAGAGAGAGAGAGAGAGAGAGAGAGAGAGAGAGAGAGAGAGAGAGAGAGAGGAGAGAGAGAGAGAGAGAGAGAGAGAGAGAGAGAGAGAGAGAGAGAGAGAGAGAGAGAGAGAGAGAGAGAGAGAGCTCCACCCTTCCTCCTTCCACGCTTCTCGCAACACCTCCAATAGTGGCGTTGAGTATCCCGCGCTCCAGGTAAACACACGGATGATATTACTCTTCCTACTCCCTCCCTCTCCCCAAACACCAAGCCACAACAACACCTCTGCACTTCTGCCCCCCACAACGCCAACCGCAACAAACACTCTCCTCACCCGGGAGCACCAATAACACAGATATAGCCGCCCTGGTTATGGGTATACAAGCTCATTCTCATACTACGGCTAGTGGTGAGGTGTTACTCTTGTACGACAGATTATTACTATTTGGTTATTATTTATCTTTAGTCGTTTATGTTTGTGTCATCTTCCTCAGTGTTTCCTGTTGGAGGCTGAGTTCCTTCCTTCTTCAGTAGTTTATTGAGGTCCTCTCTGTTCCACCCCCCTCCTCCCTTCTTTATCCATTATCATTTTACTCTCCAATTTGCATCATGACCAACATTCTTCCTAGTCCCTCTTAACACGATACTCCAATCTCAATCTAGGCCTCCCTCCCAACTCCCTTCCTTCCCTCCCAACTCCTCTCCTTCCTCCCAACTCCTTCTTCCTTCCTCCTCCCAACTCCTCCTCCCTCCCTCCTCTCCCAACTCCTCCTCCCTCCTCCTCCTCCTCCCTCCTCCTCCCTCCTGCCTGCCCGCCCGCCCGCCCAACTTCCTCCCTCCCAACTCCCTTCCAACTCCCTTCCCTTCCCTCTCAACTCCTTCCTCCCTCCTCAACTCCCTTCCTCCTTCCCAACTCCCTCCCAACTCCCCTCCCTCCCTCCCAACTCCCTCCCTCCTCCCAACTCCCTCCTCCCTCCCTCCCAACTCCCTCCCATCCTTCCTTCCCAATCCTCCTGCCTGCCTGCCCTCCCACCTCCCCCTCCCTCCCAACTCCTTTCCTACCTCCCTCACCCTCCCAATTCTCCCTTCCCACCTCCCTATACCTCCCAACTCCCTCCTCCCTCCCAACCTCCCACCGTCCACTCTGTCTCTCCTCGCCAGTCTTCCATCTCTAATTTATCATATCATCTCCCAGCTCCCTCTCCAAACACCATCACTACCTGTATGTTTCACCTGTATGAATATTAACACATACACTCTACCTCAGTCTTCCGAGCCTGCTCCAACCACGACCCAAATACACAGATGTCACCTCTCCTCCTCCAACGCCACAGATGTCACCTCTCCTCCCTCCAACGCCACAGATGTCACCTCTCCTCCTCCAACGCCACAGATGTCACCTCTCCTCCAACGCCACAGATGTCACCTCCAACGCCACAGATGTCACCTTCTCCTCCAACGCCACAGATGTCACCTCCTCCAACGCCACAGATGTCACTCTCCTCCAACGCCACAGATGTCACTCTCTCTCCTCCAACGCCACAGATGTCACCTCCTCCAACGCCACAGATGTCACTCTCCTCCAACGCCACAGATGTCACCTTCCTCCTCCACGCCACAGATGTCACCTCCAACGCCACAGATGTCACCTCTCCTCCTCCAACGCCACAGATGTCACCTCTCCTCCTCTAA